TCTATTTTGCGAAACCAAATAGCCGCCACGTTGCGGTAGGAGCAGCGCATCGCGTGAGCGGATAAATGTCAGGCGGCGGCTACGTACTATGTGTGCGAAACGAAGCCACTACTTTTGTTTGAACTTACGATATTTCTTTTATTATACTATGCTGTAACTAAGAAACTCGAAGATTAAAGTCTCTCTCCACACCAAGTCCGTTATCGCATTTCCCCGTCGACTAGTTATCGTCGATACGATGCTAAATCCAGATTGCCTAATTATGTATCGCGTCTTTTCAAATTGGAACATCCACTATTAAGATTCTAGAGGATGAAAAGCATCTTGAATGTTATTCGATCGCTGCAAGAAACCTAACGTAAAACCCTAGTTAATTTTTTTACTAAAAAATTTACTGTAGAGTGAGGCATCTTGCTTGATTAAAAGGTATGGACGAATATTTTCAGGGTAAATTATAATTAACGTCTGCCCCTCTCTTTTCCATGTTGCGATGTCTGTCAAGGTGCTTGTGTTTGTTAGTGTGTAAGTATATTCATTAGTATATTTTGGAGACGCAGTCATATAAAATTTGTTAAATATTATCAAAAGATTTAATAGTTATGTATATGCATAAATTCAAATAATGTACAGGCATGTGGGACTTTCAGTGTGACAGTTTGATGCAATACACATGTGTAAAGGGAAAGAGAAAATGCTTACATGTAATACTCAAAGCATAATAAGAAAAAGGACGAAGTGCCATTCACAGCTTTAAACCACAATGATCAAAGGGGCACTGCCAGTGCGCCCGTCACTGTGAGACATTGACAAGTCCATTGTGCCTGTAATTGTACCAACATCAGCACTATTACCCTTCAAAACCGGAATGCAGTAATGCTCACTTTACGGCTTGGCGGCAGAAATAGTTAAGGTGGTAATACTTCCCTGGATGAATTTCTCAAGGAGCTCTACTGCTTCTAAAGGATCATAGTATATGACAGGTACCGATTACGTAGTTTCTAGTCGTTCAGCGCCGCGGACTGTCGCCTAAACCCTCGCCTTAGAGCATGCAGTGGGAATAAAATAAAAATAAACGAGCTGTTGATGATGATGTTAGCTTAACACCTCGTAATGTCAATCAAATCGTGTACGTTGGACACCAAGAGCATTTGCGCGTTGCGTTCGATTGATATCAGGGGTAAGTAATACTCGACGAAATTAAAAGACGCATGATGCGAGTGAAGCTTCATACTTGACGTTGTCTTTTAATTTCGTCGAATATTACGTATTTCACAGTTATTTTTTCGGACGGACGTCAGACGGAGAACGAGTGTAGACCTCTCGGAACTAATATGAGACGGTGCGCAAATGCGTTTAGAGAACTTTGTGTCTAGATATTCCTAAATCCATTAAATTTCTACTGAAATGTATAGTTAAAAAGTGTCCTTCTAATTTTAGAAATACCTATTGCATTCCAATTCTTTTATAGTACAATCTGGAACGCAAATTTGCATTGCTCTACACTGTGTCATCTCTTTGATGGACTTAGAAGATTGGATCTCTATGCAAACAGAAATTTTTATCTCAAAATATTTTACGTTATACTGAAATGCATTCTGCTTGAACAAAGCTCGAGTCTTTTGTTAGCTTCAGTTAGAAATAAGATTTTTTAAATCTTATTGTTTGAAGAGGGTTTTGCTCCAATGAACACGTCACCCTCGTAATGACCCACACAACAAAAAGGTTACAAAGATTAAATAATTATTTTGATCAGTTTTTAAGTTCGCAATCCACTACGTTATATAGCATTTTAGCCTCAGGCGTGTCGCTTACCATCAGGCGCACGACTTGTTCGTCCCGTCACTTGATATTACAAAAAATAAAATCCAACCGCCTCAAGCCACTAGCGAGGCTGACTGGAACTAACTGGGAGCTAATCGCGCTAAATGTCAACGGTAAAACCAAAACTAAAACATTGCCATTGTAACACTTTGAGTACATTTCCTATCGCGCTAAATGCTAAAAGAAAAACCAAAACGAAACGTTGCCAATGTGACACGTTGGGTACATCTTGTTATTGCGCTAAATGTAAACGAAAAACCAAAATTAAATCGTTGCAAATTGCTAGTGCTTGAGTACAAAATAATTGGAATTATTTTTTTATTATTATTGGACTTGTTCGTCTCATCACGTGATTTTATAGAAAAGAAAAAAGTCAGAATTGCATCTGTATTGTTAGGAACAATAATCTTATCAACTGCCTTAGTAACATCCTTAGAATAATAACGCATAGAATGATAGTTTCATATCAAACGAACTGTCACAAGTGAGGCAAAAATCAAATTCATGTAGGCTAGTTTTAGTAGTAGGTTAATTTTCGGTTTTAGTGAATATTTGTATAAAAATACAAGTTGAAACGCGTTACTTCCTTGTGGAATGTGATGTTAGTATCTGTTTTATGTTTGTCTGACGTATTTTTACACTCATTTACCGCACATTTCGTCATTTTTAGCTAAAATTCTTGATCTGTTCGCGGTGCAAGTTGACCTTGAGCACTGAAGGCCCGCCCGCTCGTGTAGGCCCTTTGGGAGCGCTTCAATTTGCCTCACTTGGCGTGTGCGGACTAGGTTTCTATGCGTTATTACCTATTCTAAGGTAACATCACATAATTAAATAAAAACATAAAAAAAAGAATATAATAATAAATATTACAATTTCTCACTTTCCATACCTAGCCCGTGACCCATGTAACTATATCCAGTGGCTGAATATCGAGATATCGTTTGTATCAGTTACCGTGGTCAGAAGACCATTGGCGCTGCCGCGCACACGCATCAAGATGCGACTCGCTTGTGCATGATAGCATGAAAGTTATAAATTAGTGCGCGCCTCCGCGAACATCCCCGACGCCCTACAGTACCGCGGAAGCCCGATCAGCATCCTGAACGCATTGTTACTATATCGATTGCGTGAGCGTAAATAACATAAGCGGACGATATGGTGCTGCATGGGTGATGCTCGTCCCGTCAGTGCGTTGATGAAACTATTAGAGCTTTGTGAAAAATATGCGGCCACGCATGGATTACGTTACAATATAAAGAAGAGTGAATTTATGATTTTTAAAGCGGGTGTTAAAACCCCAAAACATGTACCTCCAATAAGGGTAAACGGAGTAGATCTCAAAAGAGTTAGTGAATTCAAATACTTAGGGCACATTGTAAACGAGCGTCTTAAAGATGATAGTATATATACATAGATTTCTCATAGATGGCACTAAGACTAAAAAGTCGTCGAAAAAGTAAGTACAAAGACACGACGCAAGCACATAGAAAAATTCGTGAGGGCCGCTGGTTCGTTCCGTGGCTTAGTTGGTATAGCGTCTGCCACGGTAAGCTAGAAGACATCGGTTAGCATCCGGTTGGATCGAAGGATTTTTTTCTGTGTGTTCGATCTTTGTATTAATAGTAATAAATAAATTATTTATATAGCATAATACCAAACATTTTTTAAAGCGTGTCGCTTATTTCTAGTCGCACTACTTATTCGTCCTGTTACATGATATCATAAAAAAATTATGCGATGGAAGAGACAGGAGTGTACAATAGATAACAAAAACAATAATAATGGCGTTACAGTTCCACACAAAGAGGGACTCGTAAAAGCGGAAACCGAGAAATTTCGTAAATGTCTAAATCTGACGTACAATATAACCGACAAGTGGGATGTGGTCTTTAGTACAATAATCCAAATTGTTTTTGTCGCAATCAGTTAAATTCCAGCTAGGCAAGCGTTTTACTTAAATGGTACCACGATTTCGTTTAAATAAGGTAAACGATTCTTTTATGGGGAACTGTATACGTTTTTACAATAAGATTCCGGAGAATATATTAAGATTATCATTTCTAAGTTCGAAACTTACATTAAAAGTATTTTAATTGAAAAGTCATATTACAAAATTGAAGAGTATGTTTTAGATAAAGAAGTATGGAAAGACAACAAAAGTCTAGATTCCACACAATTATGATTCAAAGTGTATTTATTCCATAGCATTTAAGTTTATTTGAAAAGAGCAATCCTTAGAGTTTCTTGCTCGTTCTTCTCAGGGAGGTCAGCGTAGTGAACGAGCAGTAGCTTAAAAAATGACGTTTTGAAGTGTAAAAATTTTACCTATGGAATAAATGATTGTTTGAATTTGACTTTGACTTTGCAGAGAGCGGTGCTATACGAGACGACATGTACCATTTAACGGTTCTTGAACTGTTGTCCTTGACCCGGCCGGCGTTGACTGGGAATCCCGCATCTCTTAATGAAAAATTATAATTTTTCTTCGAGGAGATTGGAAAAAGTAATAAAAAAATCTTATATTAACATGAGTCGATGTTTTCCTCTTTGTCTGTCGTTACAATTGTTACTAAAGTTTATGATATTTTATTATTCATATTATTTATGTTACGATATGTGTTAGATTTATTTTTAAGCGACTTCAAAAAAAGGAGGAGGTTCTCTATTCGACGGTATTGTTTTGTGTGATTGTTATGCGTTTACTTTTATTTTTATTAGAACTATATCTATTTGCCAAGTTTTATTGTAATCAGTTAACGAAAAGTTGGTAAAATCCCTGATTTGGTAACACCGTTAAAGTTGAAATGTTTTCTTCAAATTTGAATAAGACCACTGCTGAGGTACCTTCTGTCCAACAAAAAAGAAATTATCGAAGTCAGTTCACAAATGCCGGCGTAATCACGTGACATAGACACAAAAAAGAATTTAGAACCTCCGCCTTGGTTTTGAAGTCGGTTAAATAAAAAGACAACAAAGCAATCGCGTGATTTGTCAAACTGACGTTTGGTCCAAACGTTGTTTATGTTCGAAAAAGAACAAATCTTTAGAAAGAAATAGAATATAAAGATATACAAACAGGATCTTGTTCTTAATGATATAAGACATACCTAGTACACCAGCTCTCGGATGTAAGTATAAAAACGATGACTTTATGAAACCCGTTTTATTGAGGCGACGACTTGAGACGACAGTGTTCAAATTGTGGTGCGAAAACTATGGTGCGAATTTTGTTGGTGTTTTCTTTGATATTTACGGCTGTATGTGGAAGTTATATAAGTAAGTACAATTTCATGAAAAACATGCATGTAAAAAGGAGCTTTTTAAAAGTAAAAAATGTAGCGAATTTGCAACACAACGAACAAGTTCTACAGAAAGCGACAGCTATCAAACTTAATGTCAAATAGTACTACTCTGTACGATATCCTCCCCTCTAACTGTCCCGTCAATATCAACTTCCTGTTAACGTTAGTCCACTCTTCCTTTGTCTATATCCTGTGTAAGTTTATTAAAAATAACAATTTGTTTCTGTAATAGTCTGTGTATGTACTCTGTTGTTGTAGATTCTTTTCTCAGTGAATTTTTTCGCAATTTACTGGTCAATCTTTGAGTTAAAAACGCGTCCGTTCCTGAACTTGGCATTGGCGGGTTTACCGGTATGGTATCGATGAGGTTGTAACATTATAAAGTGGAAGTCATATTTTTACAAAACTACCGCACTTAGTCATTTTTACTTGACATTGGCGAAATCATCGTTTATTTCGATGGAGCCACAGCTTTTAAAAGAAGAAGAAGATATAAAATAGTAAATTTTTTATCCAGGAACTATTAATTCGAGCCAATGGAAGTGTGTTTGTTGCTCCGAGTGCTTATATTGGCTTTTAGTATTTAAATGAAAACTTTACTTTTCACTTCGATTGTGAGAAAAAAATAATCAATTAAATACGAAAGGGTTTAATAGAACCCAATGTTTAAATTAAAATTAAATGTAAAATTAGAATATTATAAATTACGGTCCTTCCAATAATATTGACACGCGTAGTAAGTAGCTTGTTTCTGAAAATTTGGTATGGCTGTGGTGCAAAAGACGGGAATATCGTTGCCTAAGTCATTCGAAGTAAATTAAAAAACTAATAGGTGTTTTTTGCTCCATAAGAATTAAATGATGCATTTTACTCCGGTACGTAAGGCCATATTGAAGTACTTTTAGCGCATGAGAAGTTAATAATCTTGTCGCGTGCTGTTGGCACCGCTCAACCATGTCCTGTATATTGTAGTGTAGGCTGGAGAGTACTGTTGGTGTCCTTGTGGAGGTTTGTCATTTCTTGACGTATGAGAGCTTCGACATTATGAGCTTTTCCACAAAAATGTGTGTGATGTATGTGTATCTTATGTATGCGTGTCTTATATACATTTAACGTTACATCGTTAAATGTATATAAGAAACTTTTTGTATTATTATAATTATTAATACAAAGATCGAACACTCAGAAAAAATTCCTTTGATCCGGCCGGATTCGAACCGACGTCTTCTAGGTGTGCTAGAGCGTGTTAGACGCTATACCAAATAAGCCACGGAATGAACCAGCGGATTAAATAGGAGAACTGTTATAAAATTTCACAAACATGTAATCAGTTTAATGTAATTAGTATTATATTCTCTACTAAATAAAGTATACATTACTTGTAACAAAAAAATACGTCGCCAGCTTGTGCCGCCACGGGTTATACGAAGTATATCATAGCTTCTCAACAATAAGGATATTGAAAAGCAGACTGCGTAGTAGTAGATGCAATGCAATATAGAATTTCATGTCTATGAAATAAAGTGGGTATTTATTTGAATGCAAAGTAAAAGTCCTGTGTCGCGCTGCACCATACAGACTGGCGGCGGCAGTGTTAAGCGACCTTTAGAAAGAGAGAGTTGGAAAGTGGTAATAGTATCATACCTGTTATTATAAATAGCTCGCAGTTATGATTAGGGCATGGAAACCGGTTACCTACCAACTCGGTTAACAGAAAAAAACCGACTAACCATCCATTTTGGAACGCGGTTTTCAGCTAAGAAAAACCCGGATATTAAAACGTAAATTCGTAATTCATAATAGCATCATATCTTAATAAATGAATAAACTTTACCTAATTAAATACAAGGAATTCGGGTACCTTACCTACAATTACATTACAGCGAGAGCGTCCGCGAGACGGGAGCGAGAGGTGAGTGAGGTGCGCGAACAATATCGCAAATCAATTGATATCTGTGTCTGTGATGTGTTAGTTATCTGAAACTTTCAAAGAATTGTTTGGGTGACAATAGCAAATATCTGGAAAAAACTGAATAACCGGGTAACCGGAAATCAAAAACCAAAACATCGGTTTTCAATATCCCTCAGTTTATGCATGCCGTGTCCTAGGATTTCGGTCACTAAGTAATGGTATTTATTGTATGATATAATGTCATAATTTATTATATTACCTATTTAATTCTAATTCTAAATATCTTTTGTCATTCTGTGGGTTTGTTATGTCTGAAACAAACATGTATTACTTTTATTATTTATTTTAGACTCTCGCCTCTCCCGAGGTTTAATAGAAAAATTTTGAATTTCTAAATGGGAGAGGCGATATTCTCTGGCTTTGGCACAGTCGGCTGGGATTCAGGGATTCAGATCGAGCAGGTCCGTTTTCTGCATTTGTGCTGGAAGCGACACGCCACACGAATTTTAGTAGCAGTAGAGCTCCTTGTGAAAGAGCTCCTCCAGCTACTAGCAAGGCTGACTGGAACTAACTTGGGGCCAATCGCGATAAATATCAACGGTAAAACCAAAACTAAAACATTGCCAATGTAACACTTTGAGTACATTTCCTATCGCGCTAAATGTTAAAAGAAAAACCAGAACGAAACGTTGCCAATGTGACACGTTGGGTACATTTTGCTATCGCGCTAAACGTCAAAGGAAAAACCACAGACATATATCTAGATAGACGCCGCAAGTACAGCAATTTGTACGAAAACCGAGCGTGCCACATATTATGTATCCACCATGACGTTACAAGAACTATTTAGTGATGGGAAACCTCCTTCCGCGCTAAATCGATTGATTGAACGGAATACACGTATCTATTCCACTCAATTAATCGATTCAAGTATTCGTTGATTACAAGTACTCGTGAATAAAGTAGAAAAATACCAAAACAGTATAATTATGTCCTTTGTTAAAAGTTGTTTTTAAAAAAATTTGATTACTTAAAAATTTTAACTTTAATTTTTAATCAACTTCAAATATTAAAATTATTGTCCTTCAAATAATATAAGCTTATTATATAACTGTATTTTCGTAAGAAGTACTTATTGATTGACTTAAATAATGAAAACACACGTCCACATATGAACTTGCGACACGGCCTTAATTAAATTTACTAGATGGTTTTCCGTCGGTGATTGATCAAGTTGTAGAATGGCAAGACAGCTGAAAATGTTACTACTGACAAAATAGATTTACTTAAAGTCGGCCTCGTGTAAAGTTTTTGTGATTTGATCATGTTTTCTTGGATTTCTAACTCTGCTACTCCGCATATTTGGATAGCATCTTTGGTGAGATAAACTAGACCACATTTGTCCTTGTTCTGAAGCATAGAAGCGGCATCGAAGTGTTTTTCGATCGATTGATTGAAGGGAATACGCGTAAACACGCGTATTCCATTCAATTAATCGATTCTAAATAGAATAATTTTTGTTCAAGTATTTGTTGATTACAATATTGATTACAATGTCGTAATATTAATACAGTAGAAAAATACTAGAATAAGACAATTTAGTCCTTTGTTTTACCTTTAAAAAAAATCAGACTTTACTTTTTAAACGACTTCAAGTTCATCAGTATCGACTTCAATACAAGATCTTATCGATTAACTTATAATGAAAACGCACCTCAATATATGAACTTGCGACTGTCTAAATTAATTTTATTAGATGGTCGGTTAGGGGGTCGGTTAGAGGGACGGTTAGGGGGTCGGTTAGGGGGTCGGTTAGGGGGTCGGTTATGGGGTCAGTTAGGGGGCCGGTTAGGGTTTCGGTTAGGGGTCGGTTTGGGGGTCGGTTAGGGGGTCGGTTAGGGGTCGGTTAGGGAGTCGGTTAGGGGGTCGGATAAAGGGTCGGTGAGGGGGTTGGTTAGGGGGTCGGTTAGGAGGTCAGTTAGGGGGTTGGTTAGGGGGTCGGTTAGGGGTCGGTTAGGGGGTGGTTAGGAGTTGGGTGGGTTGGGGTTGGGTCAGGGGGCGTGTGACCCCCTAACACAGCACCAAACCCACCCCTAATCCACCACCTAACCCACCCCCTAACCCACCTCTTAACCCACCCCCTAACCCACCCCCTAACCCACCACCTATCCCACCACTTAACCCACCACATAACCCACCACCTAACCCACCCAAAGTCGTGCCCGCCATCTTGGATTTAGAAATGAGTGTCATATTCGTAATGAGCACCCCAAAATATCTCGAAAACGATACCCAACTTAGCATTGTTTGAAAAAATCGTGCCCGCTATCTTGGATTTAGAAACGAGTGCCATATTCGTAATGAGCACCTCGAAATACTTCGAAAATGATACCCATATTGCATTTACTTGAAAAGTCGTGTCCGCCATCTTGGACTAAGAAACAAATACTATATTTGTAATGAGCATCCCCAAATACCTCGAAAACAATACCCAACTTGCCATTATTTGAAAAATGGTGTCCGCCATCTTGGATTTAGAAATGAGTGCCATATTCGTAATGAGCACCTCGAAATACTTCGAAAATGATACCCATATTGCATTTACTTGAAAAGTCGTGTCCGCCATGTTATGGTCGAACACTGATTTCCAAGATACAGGCCTATGCCTAGTTTGGATAATCAGAGTTCAATAGATTAATTTGTACGAGTTATTCTGTTAAAATTTCATATGTATCTACAGATTACGTGTTACATCCTGTACAAATCTTTTATGAAATAAAGAATTATTATTATATTATATAAATACCTCGAAAACGATACCCAACTTGCCCTTATGTGAATAATCGTGCCCGCCATCTTACCTCCTAAACCACCTCCTAACCTACCCCTAACCCACATGTACAAGCGGCCCTACCACAGAAACTGAATGCATTATACAAAAGTGCGTTCGTTCGATATTCATGGCGTATTAACATAGGATCACAAATATATCGCACCAAGTAAAAGCCGCAATGTATTACAAACATGAGGCATACACAGGGTTGCATATTTGTTTCCTCGAAATTCATACAAAACCAAAATAATTGTTTTTAAAATAAGTTATGCATCTTCTTTATTACAAAATCACTTGCCCGTGGAAGGTAACGTCCCTGTTTAGCCGTTTACCCACAGTTATGGTGCTTTTGCAGTTTATAATGGCACAATTAGGCATTTTTCGCGTTTTCGACTGGTGTTGATCTAACGATCGACCACGTTTTGAATTTCACTTACTTAAAACGTTGCAAATTGCTACTGTTTGCGTACAAAACGATGGGGATTTTTCAGTAAAGGCCACATCCCACATGTCAGTGATCTCGTGCGGCAGATCGGGATACTTCCAATGTTTCTCGGCTCTGGCTTACACGAGATCCTTGTCATGCGGAATGGTCCAAATTATAATTAAGATTATGACATTAAAAAGCTATAAACAAATAATACGTATGTGAAAATTCAGACTTTCGAGTTTATTCACTAAATTATTATCACTAATTACAACGATATGATTTCTTTTTACTTTCCCGATATATCGAAACGGTTACACACTTCGGTTCTTAGTGCTTACAAGAATAAAAACAAAAATAATTTGACTGCAGTTTCGCGTGTGGATAATGAGTGTGGTTTGTCGGAAAAAAGTGAATGACAATGGTAACGCCGCAAGTAGTCGAGATAGGCTAGTCGCGGACAGCGTTTGAGGGTAGACAGATATATCTCCTTTTAGAGTGGTTACAAGGCGACTTTTAAGCAGCGAATGCAAACGCGATGCAAGCGCACGACTGCATCAATACAACTTTTTAACTGCCTCTGTAGCCGAACGGTTACCATTTCCACCGGTTACCGGACTGCCCCGCAGAGCTCCCAGGTTCGATTCCCGGGCCGGGAGAAATATCTGTATGGCCCACATTGTCTATGTGTGTGTCCATGGCACCCGCGACACAGGGTTTCCCTAGTGCGGGGTTAATGTTCAGTGTGTGCGTTATTATTATTATAAAAAAAAAACGCGCGATTGCATCGCTACACTCCTACACTTGGGAGTTATAGGCGATTGCATCGATGCAGTCGCGCGCTTGCATCGCGTTTGTATCGCTGCATATAATCGCGCGCGTACACACATACACACACTTTAAGCAAAGGTTGCATCGCAGCTAAAAATCGCCATCTGTCATCTGCCAGTCAACCCGTTACCATGAAGCGTTTATACGCTTTATAATTCATACAGAAATATCCGGAAAATAAAAAGAAATCATTTGTCGTCGTAAGAAACTTGCAATTAGTGATAATCATTTACATAAAAAAATACCCAGTTTGAAGTAAGAAAATTATACCGTATAAAATTATACCACAACTTTACTTTTTATTTTTTTAGCAATATTTTTTCTTTGCAGATCATAGCGGTTGTGTTTTAAGTGCCGAGCCGCCGGATCCAAATTCAGAATGCTGTGGAATTGATACTTTAAGTACCTTTAGTATAGTTGGTAAGTAAATTTTATTCATAAAACAATGTACTCAGTTCACATTGTCAAGATTTTGCTATAAAAATAACTGTAAACAATATCTTTGGCTATTTAAACATGTAGCATTTCATATCAATAAAATAATTGCCACAGCTTATGATCAGAGGTCGGAATTAGGTAGAGTTATTTATGTACTTGCATCGAAATGTAGATATTAATATGGACCTTCCCGGGATTTCTTATGTGTGGCGATCAATATGACACATAAATAATAATAAAAACTTCAGAGATAGATAAGACAAATAAAACAAAGTTAATTAGCATAAAACTTTTATCAGTGTTTACATTAATTCACAATACAAATAATTAATACATTATTCACACTGCCCATCAGAATCATTTTCCTTGTCCGATTCATTCAAAGTACCACTAAGATTTGAAGTGTTCGCTCCCGATATTACTGAATAAATTTTATGAGAATTAAAGTATATAACCATTAGCTTTTCAATATTTTCTGGCTTCAATGAATTTCTTCGAACGTCTAAAATCCATTTGTACATTGAAAAAGAACGCTCTACGTCAACTGAGGTGAGGTTGGCAAATTTTAATACTTCCTCCTCCTCGTCATTATTGCAAGAACGGCACTCACCGTGTACTACGCGTACGCCTACTCATGGTTACGGTATGGAATCATGTTGTGGGGACACACCACGGAAGCAAATAACGTGTTTATTCTGCAAAAGAAATGCCTACGTATTTTAACTAACGTTGGCCCTACGTTCAGTTGCAAACCGTTATTTAAAAAATTGAAACTGTTGACCGTCCCATGCATATACGTACTTGACATTGCTACATTTGTTAGAAATAATATTACTGATTTCAGATTTACAAGTAGCCTGCGTCGCAATGATCAGTTAGTGCTTCCTACACCTAGGTTGGAAATATTCAAAACTGGTCCGTATTATAGAGCAATTAATATATATAATAAAATTCCTCTCACTATTAGAAACGAATCGAAAGACAAATCCTTCAATATAAAATTGCGTAATTTACTAGCCGAAAAATGTTATTATTCCATTGACGAGTTTTTTAACGATATTTATTAATATTTTAATTATAGATTTTCATTTTGACATTATTTTAGATTTTGAATTTCATTTTAGTGTAATTTAATTTTTTATTTGTACCTATCTTAAATTTTAATGTGTTCTAATTGTTGTTGATGATTTCTGCATGTTAACTTATAATTTGCTACAATGTATAATATAATTAGTAATTTTACATGCGAACAAATGACATAATATTGCAATACCCAACAGGGTGTATGTACGTAACAGTGACTATTTTTAAGATCGTATTACACAAATTGTACATGCTAGCAATAAGATAAATAAATAAATAAATAAATAAATAAATAAATAAATAAATAAATAAATAAGAAGAAATGTCTCTTCAAAATTAATCTTGGGATTTGAGGCATATCCACTTTATTCTTTCGTAACATGGAACCAGTGTAAGTACGTAAATAACTCTACCTAATTCCGACCTCTGCTTATGATACACCTATTTTCTACATCATAAAGAATTACTTATGCGTTTGCTTGGCTCCGGTATGGTATTTTGTTATGGGGCCACAGTACTGACGCCAAAGATCTGTTCATTATACAAAAAAAGTGCATTCGCATAATCTATAACATCCGACCCAGAAATAGCTGCAAGCAAATTTATATAAAGGAACATATACTCACACTTCCTTGCATATATTTATTGGAAACAATAAATTTTGTAAGGAAAAATATTAATAATTTTGAATTTGTTAAGAGTGATCGCCGAAATACAAACTTGGTCTTACCAACTCCCCGTATCGAAATGTATCGAAATAGCCCACATTATAGAGCAGTAAAAATATATAACAAATTACCTGACGCACTAAAAACAATAGAAAGAAACTCCACATTCTATAATAAAGTTAAACTATTACTAAACCAAAAATGCTATTACTCAATTAATGAATATTTTGAAGATGACTCCCATAAATGACATTGCTACCGTTATGTAACTACTTACTTGTATTTAAATTGTATTGAAATTGTATTAATAAAGTTATATGTAGATCATAAGAATTACCATATTTGTTATACCCTTACTGGGTGCATGTAACATTTTGAATGTAACGTGTATATGCAAATAAATAAATAAATAAATAAATAAAAAACTTATACCATTACGGTATAAAAGGAAATCTGTTCGAAAATCTTTTGGAGGTGTCACAAATACTTCATATAGCTTCGGCAATTAGACTATAGGTACGGCAATTTTTTCTAAGCTTGGCAAATGCCTTCGCATTTTGTGCCGTACCTTTTCTAATACTTCTCGGCAAGCTTCAAATTTCCGAATGCACCAGAAAGCACATTTCCATATTTTTTTATAATACTAAGGTGACGGGACGAACAAGTCGTGCATCTGGTGGTAAGCGACACACCTGTCCGTAATAGTTGCAGAGCCACGTAGAGCTTTAAATCGCAAAGATCCGAGAGACATTGTCACTGAGCCCGTCACCCTTAGACATGTTGACAAGTCCGATATGCCTGTAAGTTCACCAGCACCCCTACCCTTCAAAACTGGAACACAGTAATGCTCAAATTACTGCTTGCCTGCAGAAATAGGTAAGGTGGCAGTACTTCTCTGGACGATCTCTTTCACAGGGAGATTTACTGCTACTAAAATTCATTGCTGGACATAGGTCTTTCCCAATGCGCGCCATTTTGCCCGGTTCTCTGCTCGTTAATCCATCTGCTGCCAGCAACCCTTCGAAAATCGTCACTCCATCTGGCCATAAGGCGTATATCCCTCACGCTATACGTGCAGCCGTAGACGCATACCACACCTAGAGGTGCCGGTGATGATTTTATACCGATTTATCGGATATGGAAGTTATAACAGGTAAAAGAACTAATATTAATTGCTATTTCGGTAACTACTCTAGCAAACCATAAAGTTTTTAATGCCTGGGTCTGTCATTTAAAAAAAATAAACAACTTCAAAAATACGTCACGACAATCGTGTCTGTTATTGTTTGGGCTGGTGATTTCGGTGTTTATTTATTGAAAACATACTGTAAGTAGCGTTTTTTAAGTTTACCCTGAATATAAATGTTTATAAACTATACTTTAAGAAGTAATTTCATGGAAAACGTTAGAACCACTCAAATGGAATATTATCATATTTATCCAAGTACACCAAAAATTTCATTAGTGCTTTTTAAGTTCAGGATTTGCGGTGTATTACTGCATTTTATTTGAGATGTTTTTGTTGGTAGTACGGAGGGTCTTTATTTAGCAATGCAGAATAATAATTTTTATTTATAAAAACTTGTATTTAAACTGAATCCTTTTCTATTTTGCGAAACCAAATAGCCGCCATTTTGCGGTATGAGTAGCGCATCGCGTGAGCGGCTACACTACGTTTACCGAGTCGTGGTCTCCACTCAGGAATTCGCTTTCCCCATCGGTTATCCGTTCTTCGACAAATATGGCCAGCCCACTGCCACTTCACTTAGTTCTCTGTCGGATGACCTCGTTCCGTACCTTGTCCTTCAAAGAAACTCCGAGCATAGCTCGTTCCATAGCTCGCTGAACGACTTTAAACTGGTGAACTAACCGTGTCGTGAGTGTCCACGTCTCGGTTCCGTATGTCATAACAGGTAGAACGCACGGATTAAAAACCTTTGTTTCCAAACTTTGCGGTATGGGTGACGAGAAGACTCGACATAGTTTACCAAACTCTGCCCAGCCAAGCTGAATCCTTTCTTGGCTTCCCTTTCGAAGTTGTTTCTACCCAATCAATAAATACCATATCTAGCAATTATTGAATTTATCATCTACATTAATTTGAATTCAGAAGCATGTGTTTTAAAGTTTTTTATAATTGTTATTACAAAAATAGCCACTAATATTTAAAAAAAAAATGGAAACGAAGAAAAATTTATTCGATTCCGCTGGACTCGAACCGGCACTTTCACTAGGCCGTTACTGACTCTCTCCCAACTGAGCTGCGAAACGAACCAGCAGACCTGACGAATTTTTCTGTGTGCTTTTTGCAGATAATTGTTTTGTTTATGTTTTTAACGACTTTTTTCGTGACGCCATTTATAGGAGATCTATGAAAGTTCTTACTAGGCTTGTAGGTATGATGAAGACGCTGTTTCGAGTCTAGCCAGATCGAATTAATTCTTCTTTGTTTTCCATCAACAATTAAAGTATGTTCTTAAACATTTTATATACACAGGGGGTGAAAAGACAGAGCTAGAACAGTATCCCTGGTTAGTCAGCATAGAATATCACAACAGATGGTACAACACTTATAGCATACGATGTGGAGGGGTTCTCATCAGTGGAAGATACGTGCTGACTGCTGCACATTGCCTGGCTGGAAATATTGAAGTGTTCGGGAAACCGTAAGTGTTAATTCCTAAGTAGTTACAAATTCTAAGAACTTCTTGCTCTCTGGACATGATCCTTGGCTGACCTGAACAAGGAAACGAAATTTTCTAAACTATTTTCCCATCGCATTTTTCTGCATGGTGTACGGAGCTTTGGTATCCTAAAATTGGTAAGACAAAGAATTTTGATTAGTTAGTTATTTTTTAAATAACCTGAAACGGAATTTCGACAATGTAGTTTGCTTTAGTGACAGAAATCAGATGTTGATGAAAAATAATCGACCAATAACAAAATAATAAGCCGGTTATTTACACTTAAATATAAATAATTACGCCAGTATTCATCAAGTATTTGGTCAGGGTCTTGATCTTCGTCTCTTCTTATGGCTTGTTTACAAAAGACGACCACCTCCTTCGGCAGACTATTTCGACTCGCTGTTTACACAGAGTCGAATATTAGTCGTAAATAGAACTTGATTAAGGTCATGTATTTTAAGAAGATGAGGTTTTATACCGAACGGTTGTACGACTTGTGTGCTCCCCTCGGCGAGAAAATTGTATATTACCAGCATAGTATTAAAAAAACATAAAACTTTAGCATCATCATCATCATAGTATCATACAGAAAAGAAGGCTTGTAATACCAATTCCAAGTACCAACACTATATTTGCAGATAGGCAATACGACAAACATACACAATACTTTAAATAAGGAATTAAAAATGTACAGGTAATTGTACTATGAGTGTAAAAGGATTAGTGGCTCTACTTGATGACTACCCTTATATACACGTACACACACACACACACACACACACACACACACACACACACACACACA